TCAAGGCAAAGAGCTGCAAATTTGGAAATCTCTATGAAGAACTAATCAGAGATAGACTGGTCTGTGGTATCAGTAATGACAACTTAAGGAAAGTGCTCCTGAGAGACTGTGATTTAACCCTAATCAAGGCTATTAACATATGTCAGATCCATGAGATGACTGAAGAGCACAATAAAACGCTAGCTATGCCACAGCACTCTGCCACAAATGTGGATTCAGTTCAGACTTACCAGAGAGGAATACGAAAATACGACAACAAAAGGAAACCTCAGGCAAATGGAGTTAGCTGTATTTCCAACTGCTACAACTGTGGAGGTAGTCATGCAAAAAAGAGGGACAACTGTCCAGCTAATGGTCAACAGTGTCATACCTGCAAAAAGTGGAATCATTTCAAGAAGTGTTGCAAGTCCATACAACAAACATATAACAAGCAAGGGCCCAGGAGGATAGTTCATCAACTAGAACCTGATCAAGCTGATACAACTACAGATGAAACATTCTATGTTGATGGCGTAACACTGCAAGTAAGTGTTGATGCAACTGATGCACAGATAGAAAAAAATGATGAGGCTTTTTCACTGTGCACATCAATGACAATGTAGTTGAGATGAAAGTAGACACTGGTGCGAAGTACAATGTTCTGTCAAAAATGTCATTCAATGTGATAAAAGGAGATTAACAAATACAGACGTGTTTTAAATCCACTAATCTTGTTGCATATGGTGGAAGCAAAATCAAAACTGCGGGTGTAGTCCGACTGCAGTGCCACCTAATGGGAAAAGTCCACACACTGCCATTCTACATTGTAGAAGAGGATGTCCTGCCACTGCTTGGGCTACGAACGTGCAGACGGATGGGACTAGTTTCATTCAGTGAAGCAGTTCATCAATTAAGCCCCACTGAAGATGATTTTTCAGTTGAGATCCAAACAGAATACAGCGATCTCTTCTCTGATGAGCTTGGAAATCTACCTGTGACGTACTCCATGACCCTCGACCCAGATGTAAAACCAGTCGTTCGTCCTGCACATCGCATACCTGTGGCTATGAAAGACAGAGTCAAAGCTGAACTCGACAAGATGCAGGAACTGGGCGTCATCATTCCTGTCTCAGAGCCCACTGATTGGGTGTCCTCTATGGTAGCCACTAGCAAAAAGGACAAACAAGAAATCAGGATATGCATTAATCCACTCGACCATAAGTCTTCCATGTTAACCACTTTCAGCTCCCCTTGTGGTCGTTACAGATTTCTAAGAATGCCACAGCGGAATCAATTCTGCCAGCGAGGTGTTCCAGCGCCCCGTGGAACAGATTTTCGCTGGATACCCCTGTGAAATCATCGTTGATGATATCATTATTGCAGGTAAAGATGTTGCAGAGCACGACGCCAACCTGAGAAAAGTGCTTAACAGGGTCAGGGAGGTTAATTTAAGGTTTAACCCCCTCAAGTGCAAGTTCAGGCTAAGCCATGTTTTCACCAGTGAGGGACTCAAAGCAGATCCTTCCAAAACAAGTGCTATTAGTGAGATGCCAGTGCCAGCAGACGTCCCAGCCTTACAAATATTTCTGGGGATGGTCAACTACCTTGGAAAGTTCATACCAAACTTCAGCCAGCTGTCAGCTCCACTATGGCAGCTCACACATAAAGACACAGAATGGACATGGCATGAACAGCAGCAGAAAGCTTTTGAAGATTTAAAGAAACGCATGTCTTGCCCACCGGTGTTGCTATACTATGATGTTGACAAGCCAGTGACACTTACCTGTGACGCTTCACAGTACGGACTCGGTGCAGCGTGTTTGCAGGAAGGAAAACCTGTAGCGTATGTTTCGCGTACGCCAACTGAAACAGAAACCAGATATGCTCAAATCGAAAAGGAGTTGTTGGCAGTGGTCTTTGCATGTCACTATTGAAACAGACCACCAGCCCCTCTTCACCATACTAAAAAAGCCCATACACACAGCACCTGCAAGACTACAAAGAATGATGCTACGACTACAAAAGTATGACATCACTCTTGTGTACAAATGCGGAAAGCAAATGTTCCTGGCTGACACTTTGTCACGAGCTCCCCGCAGCTCCACAGTTCAGCAAGCTGAAGAAAAGGACAACTTCGACCTAATGACTGTTAACTACATATCTTCTTCTCGCTTAGAAGAGTTAGAGAGGCACACCGCTGAAGACATGACTCTGCAAACACTCAGCACCACTATCAGACACGGGTGGTCGCCCAAACAGCATAATCTTCCACATGCCATATTTTCGTTTCAGAGACGAACTGATTGTTGAAAATTGAGTAATAATGAAGGATCACAAAGCAGTTATTCCTCTATCACTACAGAAAGAATACATCAGCATCATGCACAGAGGACATCCTGGTGAAGAAGCTACAAAGCGGAGAGCACGTGGCATTGTTTTCTGGCCAACTATGACAGACAACATTCACACAGAAATACAGTCATGCTCAGTGTGTAACAGCACAAAACCACACCAGCAGAAAGAACCACTCAATCTGCATCCAGTTCCAGACCTGCCGTGGTCAACTGTAGCAACTGACATCTTTGAGTGGCACAATCAGCAATACTTAGTGCTAGTGGACTCATATTCAGGCTGGTATGAGATAGACGTGCTTCGTGATATCACTGCAGCAACAGTCATTGCAAAGCTGAAAATACATTTCTCAGTTCATGGAACACCTCACACCCTCATGTCAGACAATGGGAGGCAGTTTACTAGCCAGCGCTTTAAAGACTTTGCTTCACAGTGGGACTTCACTCATATTACCAGCAGCCCTGAGTATCCCCAGTCCAACGGGCTAGCTGAACGGGCTGTGCGCAGTGCTAAGCAGCTCATGGAGAAATCTCATAGAGATGGAACTGATGTTTTTCTTAACCTATTAAACATCAGGAATGTACCACGTGACACAAAATTAGGATCTCCTGCACAGAGACTGATGTCGAGACAAACACGTACAATACTCCCAGTCTCGGTGAAGCTGCTTGAGCCAGACATGCGTCATCCACAAGAGGTAAAAGCCCAGCTTCTAAACAAGAGGCTGTATCAAAAACAGTGCTATGATAAGTCAAGCCGACCACTACAACCTTTGATGGAAGGTCAGGTTGTTAGGATGCAGACCCCACAAGGTTACAACAGGACTGGAATTATTCAACAGATTTGCAAGGAACCCCGGTCATACGTTGTCCACTCAGACGGGAAGCTGTACAGAAGGAATCGTAAGCACATTCTGCCTGTAGCTGAGCCTGTCCCGTCACACACCTCCACAAGTGACACTGATCATCAGGACACAGCACTTGAGTTTACAGATTGTAACACGCTGTGACGAAGGTGACTTCGTCACTATGGACTGACTGCTTCAGTCCGGGTAATTGTGTGCACCTGGGGTCCTGTGTTGTCTCCTCCCCCCCTCACCTGTGTCTTGTTGTGCTAATTAGTGTGTGTATTTAGGCTCCGTTTCCCTGTCTGTTGGGAGACTGGTAGGGTGTGTGAGATCCTTGAGGCTGGTGGCTGTGTGCACAGGAACAGCAAGATTGAGGCTGTGTCCTGTGCTCAAGATTTTAATAAATGCCCACGTCGGGTTATATTTTTGGACGTTCTGCCTCTGCCTCCTTGCTTGGTCTGGGTCGCTCAACGGTCAGCTTCACAATTGGTGTCAGAAGTGGGATTTGACCAAGTAAGGAAGTGAAAATTATGAGAGGAAAGAAGAGGGACCAAAGAGAGGAACCGCGGCTGGGGGTGGCTATGCCTGGAACGGACCAGGGGGCCACGGCTGTTGAGGCAGCAGGAGATGAGAGACAAGCAGGTGGAGCAGCTGGAGAAGGAGAAGAGGGAACTCCAGGAGCGCCTGAAGAACCAGGAGAAAAAGATTGACTACTTTGAGGGGGCTGAACGCATTGAACATGAGCAGCGAGAGGAGGAGGACCGGGAGTACCAGGAGCGTCTGCGCAAACTCGAGGAGCAGGAACGAAAGCAGCGCGCTCGTCAACAGGAGATCGAGGAGCGGGAACGCCGTCGTGACGAAGAGAAACGGGTCCCAGCCGAGGAGAAACCCAAGGATTGGAGCGAAAAGGAGGTTGCAAAAGACACTGTGCTTCCTGGGGAGAGGGGGAAGGAAATGTGACTTCGTCACTATGGACTGACTGCTTCAGTCCGGGTAATTGTGTGCACCTGGGGTCCTGTGTTGTCTCCTCCCCCCCTCACCTGTGTCTTGTTGTGCTAATTAGTGTGTGTATTTAGGCTCTGTTTCCCTGTCTGTTGGGAGACTGGTAGAGTGTGTAAGATCCTTGAGGCTGGTGGCTGTGTGCACAGGAACAGCAAGATTGAGGCTGTGTCCTGTGCTCAAGATTTTAATAAATGCCCACGTCGGGTTATATTTTTGGACGTTCTGCCTCTGCCTCCTTGCTTGGTCTGAGCCGCTCAACGGTCAGCTTCACACACAGGAATCACTGAACAGTGAACACATGGGGGCTGATGTTCCCACAGCTAAACTGCTGTCAGACACTGAGAGTGTCTACAGGACACGCTCAGGCCGTGCTACCAAGCCTAATCCCAAATACAGAGACTGAAGCTTTGTCATGTATGCATAAGCATACCACTCTGAGAACAATGACTCTAAACTGTTAGTTCACACAGTTATGCCATATTGAGACTTAAAGTTTTGTTTCACAGTGCAAATGTATTCTATTTTAGTAATCTACTTTGTTACTGTAGTAACTACTGAGTTAATTGCTACACGCATTCTTTGAGATAGCCTCTGTGTTCATCAGTTACTAAATGCACACATAGTTTGATAATGTAGTGAAAGTACTTGAGTTTAGTTAGCATAGCACATGTAAATATGTTGCTTATAGACGACTACTGATCAATGCACAAGTCAAGTTTAACCTGTTTGTATTATACTTAAAAATATGTTTGTAAAGGGGGAAAAAGTATTGAGATATAGAGTAGTAAAGTTTCTAAATACTAGAAGTTTGAACTCCTACCCTTTTTCCTTGCTGCGTTCCTTTGTGATCTGACTGAGGCCGCTTTTCTAGGAGTCCCAGATGGTGACTTTCTCTCACGTTTGGGGTAATGTTTCTTGCCAGCTTTACTTAGAGGCTCATAATCCGAATCATGATCATCGTTATCCAGGGATTCTGTGTAAATAATGATAGTTACAATTACGTGTCTGCTACAGAGAACAGCACCTTTCTGTTACATGTCAATGTAGAGCACACACACTGACTGGCCACTTTATTAGGTTCATCTGTTCAACTGCTTGTTAATACAAATATCTAATCAGCCAATCACATGGCAGCAACTCAATGCATTATATAGACATGGTCAAGACGACCTGGTGAAGTTCAAACAGAGCATGAGAAAGGGGAAGAAAGGTGATTTAAGTGACTTTGAACATGGCATGGGTGTTGTGCCAGACGGCTGGTCTGAGTATTTCAGAAACTGCTGATCTACTGGGATTATCACACACAACCATCTCAAGGGTTTACAGAGAATGGTCCGAAAAGGGAAAATATCCAGTGAGCGGCAGTTCTCTGGGCAAAAATGCCTTGTTGATGCCAGAGGTCAGAGGAGAATGGCCAGACTGGTCCAAGATGATAGAAAGGCAACAGTAACTAAAAGAACCACTCGTTACAACCAAGGTATGCAGAGGACCATCTCTGAACGCACAACATGTGGAACCTTGAAGCAGAGGGGCTACAGCAGCAGAAGACCACACAGGTTGCCACTCCTGTCAGCTACGGACAGGAAACTAAGGCTACAATTTGCACAGGCTGAACAAAATTGGACAATAGAAGATTGGAAAAATGTTGCCTGGTCTGATGAGTCTCGATTTCTACTGCAATATTTGGACCACAGGGTCAGTTTGGTGTAAACAACATGAAAGTATGGATCCATCCTGGCGTCTATCAACGGTTCAGGCTGGTGGTGAAGGTGTAATGGTGTGGAGGATATCTTCTTGGCATACTTTGGGCCCATTGGGCATGGTTAAAACGCCACAGTCTGCCTGAGTATTTTTGCTGACCATGTCCATCCCTTTATGACCACAGTGTAACCATCTTCCAGCAGGATAACGTGCCATGTCACAAAGCTCAAATCATCTCCAACTGGTTTCTTGAACATGACAATGAGTTTACTGCCACTAAAATGGCCTCCACAGTCAGCAGATCTCAATCCAATAGAGCACCTTTGGGATTTGGTGGAACGAGAGATTTGCATCATGGATGTGCAGCCGACCAATCAGCAGCAACTGCGCGATTGCCATCATGTCAATATGGACCAAAATCTCTGAGGAATGTTTCCAGCACCTTGTTGAGTCTATGCCACAAAGAATTAAGGTGAAGCTGAAGGCAAAAGGGGGTCCAACCTGGTACTAGCAAGGTGTACCTAATAAAGTGGCTGGTGAGTGTATGTTACCTTTCTTCTTCAAATCAACTGATTTCTTTGGAGAGACCGAGGAAGGCTTCTTTGCAGCTTTTGAGGGCTTTTTGGCCTTTCCTATGAGAGGCTCATCATCCGAGTCATCATCTGTATTCTTATCTGAAACGTTTAGATATATCAAAAGATTTAAAGCCATACTTTATAGATAGCTGAAATGTTGTAAGTGACATGATTATGTAACAACCTGCTTTCTTGTCACTTGTGCCATGTGATTTGAGTGATGTGTTGTCTTTTTCCTCCACTTCCTCAGCTGGAGCAGAGACTTTTTTATTTTTGATCAAGGGTTCATCATCGGAGGGGTCATCAGAAGCTAAAACAGGGGAAGACATTAACATACAACGTGTATTACCTTAGCTTTTAACCATCACAAATTGTTGGCAGTCTGTTTTATTGTTTTGAACTCACCACGTGTGTCCTGTTTTGACTTAATGCTCGAGCTGTGTGTGTTTTCATGTGACTGCTTCTCCTCAATGTCTGGCTTGGCCTGGAGCTTTGAGAGAGGAACGTCATCTTCAGAGCAGGTGTTCCCTGATCAGAGACACAATGAGATGAATAACAATAATAACATTTCAAATTTGGTCTATTAAAATTATCATAAAAGTTTAACAAAACATTTCTACCAAATGCATTATCTGATTTAAGAAAGTATTTTCCAGATATTGGAAGTGACTAAACATTTGACTCAGAAATGTATTTAAAGTTTAACACTCTTTAACAGATACTTAGAGACTAAAAAGAAGGCATGTCCACAATTGAGTAATACAAATGTGGATTTCTTCGACACATAAGTAAAAGTTGTATTAGAACAGTTAAAAACACTTTGGGGACAAGTTCTGAAATCAAAAGTACCATAACATTTAACTGAGGTACAGTGCTTAAACAACTCCCCGCCACAGCTTTTTACCAGTAGTACCACTAGTATAGACCACTATAGTGCATACAAATTAATCTACTAACACATTGCTCACATTTCCTTTTTTTCTATATTAAAGTTACAGCATAAGGATGATTGTTTGTCGCCTGTAGTTACAGAGTTTATTTTTAAGTAATAGTAGATACAACAGTTTAAAATAATTGAGAGATAAAAGTAACGTTACTATAACATTTTACCCATCTACGGTAGACCGTTTTAACTACTTTCAACACTGTTAATCCTATCAAACTCTCTTAAATACTATCCTGGTAAATAATGTCATTGTATTGGTCAGTTTGAAACTCTACCATCTTCACTGTTAAAATACACAGTAGTAAAAGCAGTTGTGGTAGTGTTTTACTTCAATACTGTAAGCTAATTTTAGCTTTTAGCTGCAACGCAGTCCAATACATCGTTTGGATATGAATTAGCGTTAAATAAACAAAACAAACAAATAGTAAGGCTAACAACCTGGAGGGTCTTGAGCCACTTGACTCGGAACGTCCGCCGTGTTGCAGTCCATGGTGTTGCTCAGTACGAGTTAATCAATACTCTGGATCCGAAACGCGCCAATCTGCTTGAACTGCACTGCAGCTGTTAGCCTCTGAGTTAGCTAAATGTTTGTTGTGATTGTTGTCACCGGCAGTTACGTGTGCTGGTCCGCGATACTTAAACGACAGTCCCTGTGCCACAGAGTGTCACCAAACACGCTTTAAAATCCAGTTTCTACAGTCCTCATTAATTTAATATTTTCAGGGGTTTTTGTTTTCTTCCGTGTCGTTGTCACTGTCACTACCCGATCTACAGTGCGCATGTGCGAGATGGTCCGCCATATTGGACAACTCTGTACGGCAACAAAAGAAGGACATTTGACACAGTGGCTTTTGGCAAAGCACAAAAACAAAACTCGAGAGGGATGAGTTATTGTCATTACAACGTGACTTCACTATTATTTAACAACTCTTATTATTGGGTTATTTTTATTTGGGATTAAGTACATTGTCAGAATAAGTGAGAAATTAATTTAACTTCTGTTAGACAGCTATCATACTGAATACATATTTACTGTGAATGTATGCAAAAATGTATGGCATATAGCTGTCTAATGCGGCTTTCACACCAGCGCTTTTCCCTTTCTAGCTCCGAGCGGTAGCTTTTCTGGTTCAGCTCCGGTTTCCCTTTTCTGCTCCCGCTCTGTTCACACCGCCCAGAGCTGCGGCTGCTGTGTCATGACGTCACCGTTTACGTGCCTGCTTCATACAATCCAAACCGCGCGGATATCCCTCACATCGACAACAACAACAATGGCCGATTGTATTGAAGCGCTGTTCGCTTTGGTTATCCTCTTACGAAACGAAATGGAAGGCACGACTTTACTTGGAACTTTACAAACATCACATGTGAAATGCAAGACTTCTTTGTGGTCTTCAGCATCTACTTCAACGACGAATCTGCCCCTGCCCCCGCCTGGACGTAAGAGAGACATAAGCGACGCCGCCTCTTAACTCCGAAGCTCTTGCCTCTAGACCAGTGGTTCTCAAAGTGGGGGGCGCGCCCCCCCAGGGGGGAGCAGAGGCATGACAGGGGGGGCGCGAGAGACCAGGAGAAAAAACGGTTATTAAATTATTATTTTTTAAAAGATTTTAAATAAAAAAAATAAAAAAATCATATTTTGAAAAATTATTGATTGGAAAATAATATGATACAGTACTATTACGTCTGGGTGTCTGTATTTCATTAAAGCTCGGCTCTGTGTGTGTGTGGAACGAGCCATTTTGTGTGCGTGCACGAGCGAGAGAGAGAGAGCGCACCGGTACCGGAGATCGTTGTTGTTATCTTCTGGTGCTAGCGAGCTACGCTAACAGATATATGGAGTTTTTTCAACAACAAAGTGGAGGAGAGTCCTCCCCTGTCAGACTGAGAGACTCAGTGAGCTAAAGGACTCTCTCAGTGTTATCTCAGTGGGTCTCAAACGTTTTGGTCACCATTAATATAAATAAATTAAAAACAATTATGAAATACTATATGACATTAAAAAATGTATAACGTTTAAAAGGGGAGTGATTTGTAAAATATCCATAAAGAAATAGTCAATCTGTTTACAGTTCTGTGTTGAGAGATGTATCCATACTGTAGATCTCTTCATTTTGCTCTCAAAGTGCACCAGATTGATGCTTTTAACTTCAATATTTAAAAATAAATCTTCCCGGGGGAGCATGCCCCCGGACCCCCCTATGTGAGGTCCACACACCACCTATAAAAATAGCACTTTACCCCTGCTTACACCTATATGCCGTGAGCTGATTATTGAGCCTTCATTGTAACAGTTGCGGGTGCACTGTGTGTATGCGTGGGGATTGTTGCAGTAGAACATTCCTCTGTAGCGCCCGGTACATTAATGGGAAACCCTAAATGTTTGAGCACCCTCTATGAAACGTCAAGCTACCCCACAGTACCCCCAAAATAAATATTTGGCGCCGCCACTGAGCCTGACTATTTGTGTTGGGGGGGGCCCGACTTCTTTTTTTTCTCCAAAGGGGGGGCCTGACAGAAAAAGTTTGAGAACCACTGCTCTAGACTGAGGGGTCCTTGTGAGGATGCGCCCACCTCTCCAAACACCACGGCAGGCCGCAAGCCGGTTGCTGTAACGGACAAAGACAAATATCTGCAAGCTGACGACATTGTGCATTTAAGCAACAAAAATGGTCTACATATTTTTCATCTGAACACTAACAGCCTGAGACACAAACTGGCTGAACTCAGGCAGCTATTCATGAACGGTAAGGCAAGCATATCATGCTTTCCTGAGACCAAATTGGACAATTCCATTACAGATTCAGAGATTGAAATTGAAGATTATCTTGTAGTGAGAAGGGACAGGAACGTGAATGGAGTTGGTGTCTGCATGTACATACTTAAAGACACCAATTTCAAAAACCGTACTGACCTGCATCATGAAAATATTGAATCTGTGTGGGTTGAAATTCTTTTTGACAATGCTAAATCTGTAATAGTCGGGACAATCTATAGACCACCGGAACAGAGTGACTTTTATGATACATTAGATGGGTGTTTGGCTGATGTGGGGGATGTAGAGACAATTATTATTGGAGACTGGAACACGGATATGCAACGTAAAGACACGTCCGTCTTCAAGTCCTTCAGTAGGATTTGTGATCTGCACGGCTTCAGCCAGCTAATCACCCAACCCACCCGGGTATGTGAAACAACACAAACTACCATTGATCTCATTCTGACCTCTGACAAGTCCAGGATCTCCAGTAAAGGGGTTATAGCATGCGGTTTAAGTGATCATTATATGATATTCTGTACCCGCAAAAAGCTAAAACAAAGGGCCGGCTGTCACAAAACAGTCATATCTAGAGACCTCAAAAACTACTCTAGCGAGGCCTTTAACCTAGAACTGGAGAGCCTGGACTGGTCAGATGAGCTCAGTGGTACACAAGTTGAAGAAACATGGCTTGGTTTCAAAAACAAATTCTCTGCAATACTCAATGATTTGGCCCCCCTAAGAACAACCAGGGTAAAAAATCGCGCTGAGCCGTGGATGCACTCCGGCATACTGACCGCCATGAAAACCAGAGACAAAAAATGCTCTGAGTTTCATAAAAGTCAGTCAATGCTTTCCAAAAGCACGAGCAGTGAACTCCAGGCCCACGTGACTGAACTCAAAATTGAAAGAAACAGACTAAGAAATGACGTAAGCTCCATGATCAAAACTGCCAAAAAGAATTTCATCAATGTCAAAACTGAGGAAAACTAAAATAAACCCTGTGAACTTTGGAAATTACTCAATAACCAGCTTGGCTGCAGTAAAAAACTCAAAACGAGATTTTCGAACTTAAACATAAAGACAGATAACAGGCTCATCACAGACAAACTGGATGTGGACAAGTACTTGAACATTTTTTTCACAAACATAGCCACAACTCTTGTAAATAAATTACCCTCCCACTCAGGGCTTTTTGGTGTAGATCACATCATGACCTACTACAAAAACCTAGGGGAACGCAAAGATGATTTCAGTCTAGCAAGGATAACAACAGCAGAGGTACTCATTAAACTGAGCGCCCTCCAACCTAACAAGGCCACTGGCCACGACAATATCCCCTCCAAATTCCTCAGAGACACAGCAACCGCCATCTCACCAGTCATAGCTCACATAATTAACCTCTCCATAAAACAGGGAAAAGTACCCAAAGACTTCAAAATTGCAAGAGTAACCCCCCTGCACAAAAAGGGCAGTAAATTGGACCCAGGCAACTACCGCCCTGTTTCTAGACTTATCTCCATCTCGAAAGTCATGGAAAAAATAGTATATGAACAGGTCGAAAAGTACCTCGCGGAAAATAAACTAATCTATGAATTTCAATCTGGCTTTAGAACATCCCACTCCACTGACACATGCCTTCTTTATTTGAGCGACCACATCAAACAAGAGGTGGACGAGGGAAAATACTGCGGCATGGTGATGCTGGACCTACAAAAGGCTTTCGACACTGTCAATCACCCCATTCTGATTGACAAGCTAAAACCAATTGGTTTTGATAAACTATCGGTGAGCTGGATGCAATCCTACCTGGAGGGGAGAGAACAGATGGTGGAGGTAAACGGTACCATGTCCCCCCCCATCCCAGTGAGCTGTGGTGTTCCACAAGGAAGCATATTAGGTCCGTTACTGTTCCTAATTTATGTAAATGACATGTCATCAGCATGTGACTGCAACTTGTTCCTGTTCGCGGACGACTCAGCCCTGCTGGTCTCTGACAGGAACAGGTTGCAGGTTGAAAAAACCCTCAGCTCCGAGCTCGGCAGAATCTGCACCTGGCTCGCCGATAATAAATTATCATTACACCTGGGTAAAACAGAGTCCATTCTCTTCGGTTCGAAAACATAATCTCAGCAAATCCGACGACTTCTCAGTTGCAGTGGGTGACATTATTGTCACAAGTAAGAAGGAAATTACATACCTAGGATCTATTCTTGAGGCAAACCTCTCCTGTGACAAAATGGCATCCAATGTAATAAAAAAAATCAAAGAACTAGATTCCTATACCGGATCTCCTCTCTGGTAAACAAAAACACCCTGAAAACTCTGGCAGGAGCACTCATTCAAGGGTACTATGACTATGCTTGCACGTCATGGTACCATAGCACCTCCAAGGCGCTAAAAATAAAACTTCAAACATCGCAAAATAAACTGGTCAGACTACTGCTTGACCTTTCATCTAGAACCCACCTCACCTCTGCCCACTTTGACAACCTAGGATGGCTTAGAGTAGACGACAGAGTACAGCTACTTGCAATGGGCCTGGTCTACAAGATCCACTACACCTCTATGGTACCCATGTACATGTCAAAATTCTTCCCAAAGGTCAAGGAATACTATGATCATAACACCAGAGGGAGCTCCACAAATCATGTGAAACCCAGATTTGGCACAAAAAAGGGGGAATACACGTTTCGCAATTATGCCACATCAAGGTGGAACGCTCTTCCCACAACTGTAAAGGAAAGTAAAACTATACTTACCTTCAAAACCTCTCTTAAAGAGCACCTTCGGGGGAGAGCATTGCAAAACTGGCCCCGGTAATGGTACAAATCTCAACCTGTCGTTCAATGGACAGCTTCCCCCCCCCCATCTATGTATATACTCACATTTTAGACTCTGTTACTAACTGTATATCTGTAGACTTGGTATGTCTTAAATGTCCGGTTAGGATGTATTAGAACGAAATCTAAAATGAAAATTGTAAATAAGCAATCTGTATGTAAAAAACCACCTGTATGTAAATTGTAAATAAGCCATCTGTATGTCAAATATGTCTTATATGTCTTAAATGACATGATGAATTGGAAATGGGGGACCCTGATGTAAACAAGACGAAAGTCTTTCTCTGGTCTGCATCCCCTTAACAATTGTATGTTTTGAGCTGTACTGTACTGTACCCAATATACAAGCTGTTAATAAACTTTTCAATCAATCAATCAATCATCACTCATGCAGAGTCTAAAGAAGACCCGGAGTGTCTGAAAAGAAAATGTAGGGAGATGTGCAACCCTCAAACAAATGTCACTATGGAAAGACACAAGTTCAATACAAGGAATCAAAAAGTTGGTGAGTGAATTGAATCGTATGTCAGTGCTTTAAGGATCAAGGCAAAGAGCTGCAAATTTGGAAATCTCTATGAAGAACTAATCAGAGATAGACTGGTCTGTGGTATCAGTAATGACAACTTAAGGAAAATGCTCCTGAGAGACTGTGATTTAACCCTAATCAAGGCTATTAACATGTCAGATCCATGAGATGACTGAAGAGCACAATAAAACGCTAGCTCTGCCACACCACAGCACTCTGCCACAAATGTGGATTCAGTTCAGACTTACCAGAGAGGAATACGAAAATACGACAACAAAAGGAAACCTCAGGCAAATGGAGTTAGCTGTATTTCCAACTGCTACAACTGTGGAGGTAGTCATGCAGCAAAGAGGGACAACTGTCCAGCTAATGGTCAACAGTGTCATACCTGCAAAAAGTGGAATCATTTCAAGAAGTGTTGCAAGTCCATACAACAAACATATAACAAGCAAGGGCCCAGGAGGATAGTTCATCAACTAGAACCTGATCAAGCTGATACAACTACAGATGAAACATTCTATGTTGATGGCGTAACACTGCAAGTAAGTGTTGATGCAACTGATGCACAGATAGAAAAAAATGATGAGGCTTTTTCACTGTGCACATCAATGACAATGTAGTTGAGATGAAAGTAGACACTGGTGCGAAGTACAATGTTCTGTCAAAAATGTCATTCAATGTGATAAAAGGAGATTAACAAATACAGACGTGTTTTAAATCCACTAATCTTGTTGCATATGGTGGAAGCAAAATCAAAACTGCGGGTGTAGTCCGACTGCAGTGCCACCTAATGGGAAAAGTCCACACACTGCCATTCTACATTGTAGAAGAGGATGTCCTGCCACTGCTTGGGCTACGAACGTGCAGACGGATGGGACTAGTTTCATTCAGTGAAGCCGTTCATCAATTAAGCCCCACTGAAGATGATTTTTCAGTTGAGATCCAAACAGAATACAGCGATCTCTTCTCTGATGAGCTTGGAAATCTACCTGTGACGTACTCCATGACCCTCGACCCAGATGTAAAACCAGTCGTTCGTCCTGCACATCGCATACCTGTGGCTATGAAAGACAGAGTCAAAGCTGAACTCGACAAGATGCAGGAACTGGGCGTCATCATTCCTGTCTCAGAGCCCACTGATTGGGTGTCCTCTATGGTAGCCACTAGCAAAAAGGACAAACAAGAAATCAGGATATGCATTAATCCACTCGACCATAAGTCTTCCATGTTAACCACTTTCAGCTCCCCTTGTGGTCGTTACAGATTTCTAAGAATGCCACAGCGGAATCAATTCTGCCAGCGAGGTGTTCCAGCGCCCCGTGGAACAGATTTTCGCTGGATACCCCTGTGAAATCATCGTTGATGATATCATTATTGCAGGTAAAGATGTTGCAGAGCACGACGCCAACCTGAGAAAAGTGCTTAACAGGGTCAGGGAGGTTAATTTAAGGTTTAACCCCCTCAAGTGCAAGTTCAGGCTAAGCCATGTTTTCACCAGTGAGGGACTCAAAGCAGATCCTTCCAAAACAAGTGCTATTAGTGAGATGCCAGTGCCAGCAGACGTCCCAGCCTTACAAATATTTCTGGGGATGGTCAACTACCTTGGAAAGTTCATACCAAACTTCAGCCAGCTGTCAGCTCCACTATGGCAGCTCACACATAAAGACACAGAATGGACATGGCATGAACAGCAGCAGAAAGCTTTTGAAGATTTAAAGAAACGCATGTCTTGCCCACCGGTGTTGCTATACTATGATGTTGACAAGCCAGTGACACTTACCTGTGACGCTTCACAGTACGGACTCGGTGCAGCGTGTTTGCAGGAAGGAAAACCTGTAGCGTATGTTTCGCGTACGCTAACTGAAACAGAAACCAGATATGCTCAAATCGAAAAGGAGTTGTTGGCAGTGGTCTTTGCATGTCACTATTGAAACAGACCACCAGCCCCTCGTCACCATACTAAAAAAGCCCATACACACAGCACCTGCAAGACTACAAAGAATGATGCTACGACTACAAAAGTACGACATCACTCTTGTGTACAAATGCGGAAAGCAAATGTTCCTGGCTGACACTTTGTCACGAGCTCCCCGCAGCTCCACAGTTCAGCAAGCTGAAGAAGAGGACAACTTCGACCTAATGACTGTTAACTACATATCTTCTTCTCGCTTAGAAGAGTTAGAGAGGCACACCGCTGAAGACATGACTCTGCAAACACTCAGCACCACTATCAGACACGGGTGGTCGCCCAAACAGCATAATCTTCCACATGCCATATTTTCGTTTCAGAGACGAACTGATTGTTGAAAATGGAGTAATAATGAAGGATCACAAAGCAGTTATTCCTCTATCACTACAGAAAGAATACATCAGCATCATGCACAGAGGACATCCTGGTGAAGAAGCTACAAAGCGGAGAGCACGTGGCATTGTTTTCTGGCCAACTATGACAGACAACATTCACACAGAAATACAGTCATGCTCAGTGTGTAACAGCACAAAACCACACCAGCAGAAAGAACCACTCAATCTGCATCCAGTTCCAGACCTGCCGTGGTCAACTGTAGCAACTGACATCTTTGAGTGGCACAATCAGCAATACTTAGTGCTAGTGGACTCATATTCAGGCTGGTATGAGATAGACGTGCTTCGTGATATCACTGCAGCAACAGTCATTGCAAAGCTGAAAATACATTTCTCAGTTCATGGAACACCTCACACCCTCATGTCAGACAATGGGAGGCAGTTTACTAGCCAGCGCTTTAAAGACTTTGCTTCACAGTGGGACTTCACTCATATTACCAGCAGCCCTGAGTATCCCCAGTCCAACGGGCTAGCTGAACGGGCTGTGCGCAGTGCTAAGCAGCTCATGGAGAAATCTCATAGAGATGGAACTGATGTTTTTCTTAACCTATTAAACATCAGGAATGTACCACGTGACACAACATTAGGATCTCCTGCACAGAGACTGATGTCGAGACAAACACGTACAATACTCCCAGTCTCGGTGAAGCTGCTTGAGCCAGACATGCGTCATCCACAAGAGGTAAAAGCCCAGCTTCTAAACAAGAGGCTGTATCAAAAACAGTGCTATGATAAGTCAAGCCGACCACTACAACCTTTGATGGAAGGTCAGGTTGTTAGGATGCAGACCCCACAAGGTTACAACAGGACTGGAATTATTCAACAGATTTGCAAGGAACCCCGGTCATACGTTGTCCACTCAGACGGGAAGCTGTACAGAAGGAATCGTAAGCACATTCTGCCTGTAGCTGAGCCTGTCCCGTCACACACCTCCACAAGTGACACTGATCATCAGGACACAGCACTTGAGTTTACAGATTGTAACACGCACACACAGGAATCACTGAACAGTGAACACATGAGGGCTGATGTTCCCACAGCTAAACTGCTGTCAGACACTGAGAGTGTCTACAGGACACGCTCAGGCCGTGCTACCAAGCCTAATCCCAAATACAGAGACTGAAGCTTTGTCATGTATGCATAAGCATACCACTCTGAGAACAATGACTCTAAACTGTTAGTTCACACAGTTATGCCATATTGAGACTTAAAGTTTTGTTTCACAGTGCAAATGTATTCTATTTTAGTAATCTACTTTGTTACTGTAGTAACTACTGAGTTAATTGCTACACGCATTCTTTGAGATAGCCTCTGTGTTCATCAGTTACTAAATGCACACATAGTTTGATAATGTAGTGAAAGTACTTGAGTTTGGTTAGCAAAGCACATGTAAATATGTTGCTTATAGACGACTACTGAATGCACAAGTCAAGTTTAACCTGTTTGTATTATACTTAAAAATATGTTTGTAAAGGGGGAAAAAGTATTGAGATATAGAGTAGTAAAGTTTCTAAATACTAGAAGTTTGAACTCCTACCCTTTTTCCTTGCTGCGTTCCTTTGTGATCTGACTGAGGCCGCTTTTCTAGGAGTCCCAGATGGTGACTTTCTCTCACGTTTGGGGTAATGTTTCTTGCCAGCTTTACTTAGAGGCTCATAATCCGAATCATGATCATCGTTATCCAGGGATTCTGTGTAAATAATGATAGTTACAATTACGTGTCTGCTACAGAGAACAGCACCTTTCTGTTACATGTCAATGTAGAGAACACACACTGACTGGCCACTTTATTAGGTTCATCTGTTCAACTGCTTGTTAATACAAATATCTAATCAGCCAATCACATGGCAGCAACTCAATGCATTATATAGACATGGTCAAGACGACCTGGTGAAGTTCAAACAGAGCATGAGAAAGGGGAAGAAAGGTGATTTAAGTGACTTTGAACATGGCATGGGTGTTGTGCCAGACGGCTGGTCTGAGTATTTCATAAACTGCTGATCTACTGGGATTATCACACACAACCATCTCAAGGGTTTACAGAGAATGGTCCGAAAAGGGAAAATATCCAGTGAGCGGCAGTTCTCTGGGCAAAAATGCCTTGTTGATGCCAGAGGTCAGAGGAGAATGGCCAGACTGGTCCAAGATGATAGAAAGGCAACAGTAACTAAAAGAACCACTCGTTACAACCAAGGTATGCAGAGGACCATCTCTGAACGCACAACATGTGGAACCTTGAAGCAGAGGGGCTACAGCAGCAGAAGACCACACAGGTTGCCACTCCTGTCAGCTACGGACAGGAAACTAAGGCTACAATTTGCACAGGCTGAACAAAATTGGACAATAGAAGATTGGAAAAATGTTGCCTGGTCTGATGAGTCTCGATTTCTACTGCAACATTAGGACCACAGGGTCAGAGTTTGGTGTAAACAACATGAAAGTATGGATCCATCCTGGCGTCTATCAACGGTTCAGGCTGGTGGTGAAGGTGTAATGGTGTGGGGGATATCTTCTTGGCATACTTTGGGCCCCTTGGGCATGGTTAAAACGCCACAGCCTGCCTGAGTATTTTTGCTGACCATGTCCATCCCTTTATGACCACAGTGTAACCATCTTCCAGCAGGATAACGTGCCATGTCACAAAGCTCAAATCATCTCCAACTGGTTTCTTGAACATGACAATGAGTTTACTGCCACTAAAATGGCCTCCACAGTCAGCAGATCTCAATCCAATAGAGCACCTTTGGGATTTGGTGGAACGAGAGATTTGCATCATGGATGTGCAGCCGACCAATCAGCAGCAACAGCGTGATTGCCATCATGTCAATATGGACCAAAATCTCTGAGGAATGTTTCCAGCACCTTGTTGAGTCTATGCCACAAAGAATTAAGGTGAAGCTGAAGGCAAAAGGGGGTCCAACCCGGTACTAGCAAGGTGTACCTAATAAAGTGGCTGGTGAGTGTATGTTACCTTTCTTCTTCAAATCAACCTATTTTATGAAGAACTAATCTAGCTTTTACCTAATTTACCTTTTATTGTGGCCAGCCTAAGGCACACCTGTGCAATAATCATGCTGTCTAATCAGCATCTTGATATGCCACACCTGTGAGGTGGGATGGATTATCTCGGCGAAGGAGAAGTGCTCACTATCACAGATTTGTGAACAATATTTGAGAGAAATGGTTATTGTGTGTATATAGAAAATGTTTTAGATCTTTGAGTTCATCTCATGAAAAATGGGAGCAAAAACAAAAGTGTTGCATTTATATTTTTGTTCAGTGTAATAGGGCCGTGGGTCCACGCAAATCTGGATCAGCTCCGTTGTTCCCCCGTTTTTAGAGATTTGGGTACGGAGGAAAAGAGAGAGGGTTTTGTTTTCTGACACTTTGTGAGTTCTCTGACACACCGGGGACACAAAAAGACATCAAAAAGTGCATTTTGCATGACAGGTCCCCTTTAATGCTTTGAAGATTATGAATTAACAATGTAAATGTGGTACAGTGTGTGGGTGTGTGTTGTACAGTGTGTAGCTGCATGTGTAGATGCGGCAGACAGACGGGTCTCAGTTGGTTTGGTTTCTCTGCTTACTTTTAATAATTGTAAATAAAAATGTTGGGCCGTAATTTCAATTCCCCATAGCGACCAGAGAGAGGGAGGGGGGACTGGATATATCCAGTCTCTGACAGTGTTATGTTATTATGAGAGTGCCCTCATACTTTGTTTGTTTCTGAAATTGTATATATATATTTATATGAATATATATATATATATATATATACATATATATATACACATATATATATATATACACACAGGTAGCCATACTGCTATGGCTACCTGTGAATCAGCAGTTCTCTTCATGGTGGCTCCAACACTGTCGGCAGGCCCTTTCCCGTGACCAGCTTCCAGGACCCTCTAGCAATACAGTCTGTGAGCAAAACACATGGCTATAGGAATAGCTTTGCAAACATAATATTTTGCATAAAACCCCAAACGGTGTACTTTATTTAAGAGATGATGTGTTCCATTCTTAAAGTTACACACTGATGTTCAGGCTTTAGAACACTTTTATTTCAAAATGATGGGATTTAATTACTTACCATTCCATTTTGTCACTACCAAAATGATCATGTCACCACCAAAACGTTACCATATGTTTCGGTAGTGACTATTTCGGTAGTTACAATTCTAGATAACTTTGAGCATAACTAAAGAATGCCAGCAAGCACATGGCTAGCACACGTCTTTGAAGAGGTGTACACCATGGTGTACACACATGAAAACATAGTAATAATAAGTTACTTATTTGAAGAGAATAATTGTTCGGTAGTGTCAATTCTTAAGGTTACACGCCGAATTTCAGATTTTGGAACAGATTTCTTTCAAAAGTATATGGGGTTTAGCTACTTACCATCCAGCGATGAGGTACAGAAGTGTCACTGCCTGATCCAAAATGCAGGGGTGAATCTTCCAACTTCTGTTTAAACTTTATCATAAAGATCTTTGAAATACATCATTGAAAAAAAACATCTTCAAAAAAATGTTCTAAGTGGTATTTATATTTACAGAAATTGAAATTTAGATGTCAGGGTTTGGGACAGCTACTTCCCAATAGAAAGTACCCTATAAATGTTGCTTTTGTATATAGTTAGCTTACCACTATCTAATTAAATGTATTTTTAAATAGACCATAAAATACTCTTAGTAAATATCTGTATGAATACTTAATTGTTTTGTTAAAGCGTTTTTCTCTTGTTGTAGGACCGCACTTTGAACTAACTCACCATAAAGAAAAAGATAATACAAAAAAATTAATTGTATTCTCTACAAGGTTCATTTGCAAAATCTTAGCTATCCAGCCCTTTATTCTGTTGCATGAAACACCAATACATAGCCTATCATTTTATTTTATATTTCTCCATAGGGCAGTAACAATCCATTGTTTTTTCTAACGTTTCTCAACATGATTATTTTCAATCCATTTCTAGATGGGTTTTGATAAAATAAAAAGAATACAATTTAGAGATGTTTTGTAATACTTTCAAAAATGAATTGTGTAAAACAGTCAATATATTTATTTTCTTATTATTAATGTAAAGTTATTCTAGAATATTGACCGTTTCCGCCATGACGTGTTCTCCGTTGCCACAGTAACCATTTGTTTTGTACATTACATTTGAGAGGCAGTTCGGTCGTCGAAACAATAGACGGTATCCACACTTACACTTTTATCCGGGTGTTTTTCAACTGCAAGTAACAAGGTATGGTATTAAATGACTTTTTTAAAAGTATTGTTATAAGGCTAGTGAGAAAAAAACACGTTTCTCATGTCCGTTTGACACCAAGATAACAGTTAAAATAGTATAAACCACGTTATTTGGGGCTTGCTAACGTAAACAAAACATGTAACGGTTTAAAATGTTAGCTATCTACAAACAATTGTCTGGGCTATTTAACTAGCCAACATAACGTTTGTCATGGTTTAATGTATGTTCAATTTCATCAATCATCAACTCTCGAATCAATATGATCCATATTATGCCTTTTACAAAGAAAGATTGCATTTTGATTTTGATGAATTGTATAAATTGAACTTTAACATTTGGTTTAAACGTTTTTTTTTATTGATTTAATTGTGAAGACCTTCAAGAAATATTTGTAAAAATACTTTTTAGAGAAGGGAAGGAAACACAACCTTAACAGGTTATTCTAATACTTTTTTACTGTACTGTATTTCTATGTTTCTGTAGTGACAATTTTTGGGAGAGGAAAAACATTCCAACACAGTCTGAAAATACAATGACGGTTATTTTTACTAGATATGTGTACTTTAGATATGGTACAATATACGGACAAAGTTTTGGGGATAAAACATACAACATTTCAAAATATATCCAACCTGACTTTGAACCAATTCGGTAGAATGGCCCATATAACAACTATATAACAATTCTTAAATAGGCTACAAAGTATACACCAGAGAGGGGAGCTGGACTCTATGTCTATATTAATGATGCTTGGTACTCAAACATACTCAAAGTTGATCGACAATGCTTACTTGATGTCTTTTTTTTCCTTTAAAATATTTCTATTAATTTTCAAACAAGAGTTGTTATACAATGTAGAATATACTCTTACAGTGGCAGGTCGTATTTAGGCAAACGTCAAATGTTCTATGGCAAAAAATTGCCATAATATCTGTCCAGAGAATTCAATATCCATACTGTATGTTGCTGCTTGTAAAAATGATCAATTAAAAAATGTGTTATCATTTTGTATTAATGATAATAATTGAAACTTGATCCCTGAACATAAAGAAATGTTGGTTTCTAGTTCCATCTCATATCAACCAACTAAGGTAGGATGCAATACATTTGCACTGGATGTGTTTATGTCTTAATTTCCCTTTACTTTAGAAGTGCTTTCCTTCATCTTTCAACATAAGGCAGCCACATTTCCAATCATTTCATATATGTTTTTAGTGACCTACCAGAGGAGCATAATGTCTACCCCGGACCGTAGCATCGAGCAGTGTGTTGGACCTGATCTTGAGAATATCGAGGTGATGCGGAACCACTCTGTGCTCTTCAGAGCAGAATGCAAGAGGCTCATCCAGGATACTGACAAAGCGTGCAAACGCATGCAAAATGATGACAACAGGCAACTAGGTAAGTAGGAAGACAAATAAACACTGTGTTTAGCTCATAATGTTGTAAAGACCACAGAGCTGAACTGTTTTTCTTCCTCCCCCCCCCTGCTGTTCAGATCAGCGGGTCAGAGACATCCAGTTTCTGAAGAAGGAGTTGGAGCTGAAGCTGGAGGAGATTATCCTGGAGATCGATGTCCTCATAGAGTTGCAGAGGAGAGTGGGGAAAGCCCTGGGGGCCTGCGGAGAGCCTCTGAGGGTCACCGTGGTCTGTCTGGAGGAGAGGTGAGCAGTGGTGTGAAGTAAAGTACATCTACTCAAGAACTGTACTTAAGTAACATTTACATTTTGGCTACTTTGTACTTCTACCCCACTACAATTCAGAGGTTAATGGTTTACTCCACTACATTTTTTAAATACCGTTAGTTACTTTTCAAATGTTGATTCATGATTTGATTTATATTCAACACTTAAATCAGACTTTAGTTCCACCTGGAGTAAATCCACCAGCTACCCTGCAGTATACAAAGTCATTCAAACTAGCTGCACCTTCACCAGCTTTGAGAACACTTTCATGATCAATCATTATAAAACATATCATATATATTATTCTGAAATGGACCAATCTGCACAATGACTACTTTTACTTTTGGTACTTTTACTATATTTAGATGCAAATACTTTTGCACTTTTACTTGATTAACATTTACAATTCAGGACTTTTACTTGTAACAGAGTATTCCTACACTCTGGTACTTCTACTTAACATAAGTATAATATACTTCTCTAACCTCTGAAGGTGAGGCTTGAACCATCAGGAGAAACATGCACAATATGGATTGGGAGCTATTGCTAGTTTTCGGTATCATGAAGTTCTAACTTTTACACTACTTTCTCTAACTATGAAGTTTACATGTTAAAAAAAACAATATCAGTAAGGATGAAGGTGATAATTGTTTTTTGTTGTTCCCTGGTTTTCAGAATGAAACGTGTTCCTCCTGAGAGGCTCCATGACGAGGTGGACAGAGAGCTGCTGAGGGAGAGGGGGGGTGATCGAGGGAGTGGCTTCCCTTCTGCACCGTGTAGCCGAGCAGATCACTGAGCAGATACGGTAGGGAAGAAGAACTCTGTATGATCTATACAGGGGACCTTACCTTTCTAACGTAAATTGTCTATAAAACTGATAAGAAAATCGAATCACAAATACGTGGCACGGAAAATGAACATGTTGCTTCGTGTTCCAGATTGAATCGATCCATTAAGTACCATCTGGAGCAGGATCTGAAGGAAAAGTTTGCAGCTCAGTGCATCGACAACTCGTGTGCCTTAATGACCGCTCACTCCACCAATAACCAGCAGAGGCCCAAAAACACCCAAACTCTTCTGCAGAGGTAAACCATAAAGCCAGGAAAACAATATAACATCTGTGTAAAGGCAGTTTCTAAGCTATTTTGACATTCATGATTTCAATTAATTACATTACAGCACAGAACAAAAATACATTTTGTTAGCTCCAGGTCTGTATAAGTTGTTTTAAACTCCCTCCTCTCTCAGCTTCACTGTGACTCCAGAGCAGTGGGAGAACATTTCGGACATCAACATGGCCAAAGCAGAGCAGCAGCAGGTCAACTCTCTGTCCCTGAGGGCCATGGTGGAGTCTCTCCTGGAGCAGACGCTGGCCGACATGCAGAAGCAGTTCCAGGCCACCACAGAAACATTTCAGCTCAACGTCCAGGAGATCAAGTCTGCAAAGGGACTGATGGAGGATCAGCTGGCTAAGGTAATGCAGATAAATGTGAGGTGTGTATTCGGCAGAAAGAGGTGAAAGGAAGTGGGAGGCAACTGTTGTAAAAGAGAAGAACTGGCTTGATTTATCATGTCAGTATTGATTTTTATTAAAGGAACAGTCCCATCAAAAGCATATTTCTCCTTTTACCTGAAGTGCTATTTATCAATCTAGATTGTTTTGGGGTAAGTTGTCAATTGTAGAGATAAGCCCATAGTGATGTCTTACAATTAACCAAGCAAAAATAATACCCAGTCAAATAGTCCACTGACTTTGTTGTGAGTTGCAGATTAAATTAGGAAAAAAAATTGCCGAATTGAAGATGCACGCTCCCTTGGGGGAAGTTTGGTCAAAAGAAAGTAGTTGCTTTTGAGTTTTTTTTAATGTATTTTTTTGGAGCTTTTGACCACCATCTGCCATTAAACTGGAGAGAAGGCAGACATCTCTACAGCAAATATCTCCAACGCTTGCAATTCACACCAAAAGAATGTAGATTGATAAATAGCACTTGAAGTAAGATTAAACATATTACTTTTTTATTTTGAGGATGACGGCCCATTAAACATGGCCACCATCGTCGCAAGGATCCTGGAGGGGCCCTGGGAGTACGCTTATCCAGTCTACATGTGTTTTGTAGACTTGGAGAAGGCGTATGGCCGAGTTCCCAGGGAGTTACTGTGGGAGGTGCTGCGGGAGTATGGGGTGAGGGGGTCTCTACTCAGGGCCATCCAATCTCTGTACTCCCAAAGCGAGAGCTGTGTCCGGGTCCTCTGCAGTAAGTCGGACCCATTTCCGGTGAGGGTTGGCCTCCGCCAGGACTGCGCTTTGTCACCAATCCTGTTTGTAATATACATGGATCGGATTTCGAGGCGTAGTCATGGGGGAGGGGGTCTGCAGTTTGGTGGACTAAGGATTGCACCACTGCTTTTTGCAGATGATGTGGTTCTAATGGCTTCATCGGTCTGCGACCTTCAGCACTCACTGGATCGGTTCGCAACCGAGTGTGAAGCGGCTGGGATGAGGATCAGCACCTCCAAATCTGAGGCCATGGTTCTCAGCAGGAAACCGATGGACTGTCCACTCCAAGTAGGGAATGAGTCCTTACCCCAAGTGAAGGAGTTCAAGTATCTCGGGGTCTTGTTCTCGAGTAAGGGAACAATGGAGGGTGAGATGGGCCGGAGAATCGGAGCAGCGGGAGCGGTACTGCAGTCGCTTTACCGCACCGTTGTGACGAAAAGGGAGCTGAGCCAGAAGGCAAAGCTCTCTGTCTACCGGGCCATTTTCGTTCCTACCCTCACCTATGGTCATGAAGGATGGGTCATGACCGAAAGAATGAGATCGCGGATACAAGCGGCCGAGATGGGTTTTCTCCGCAGGGTGGCTGGTGTCTCCCTTAGGGATAAGGTGAGAAGTTCGGTCATCCGGGAGGGACTCCTCCTTCGTGTCGAAAGGAGCCAGTTGAGGTGGTTCGGGCACCTAGTTAGGATGCCACCTGGGCGCCTCCCTAGGGAGGTGTTCCAGGCACGTCCAGCTGGGAAGAGACCAAGGGGTAGACCTAGGACCAGGTGGAGGGATTATATCTCTTCGCTGGCCTGGGAGCGCCTTGGGATCCCCCAGTCAGAGCTGGTTGATGTCGCCAGGGAAAGGAAAGTTTGGGGCTCTCTGCTGGAACTGCTACCCCCGCGACCCGACCACGGATAAGCGGGAGAAGATGGATGGATGGACCATCATCACTTGCCCAGATGATCCTTTCATTAAGAATAGACAGAACAAAAAGAAAGAAGTATTAATATCAGATTAGCGATTTCCTCTTATTTCACCATTAAATGAAAACACAGGTTGACCGGGTGTCTCTCCTCTCTCCCCTCTTTCCTCTCTAGATTCTGTTTGAGTTTGCCAGCGAGCAGAGGACCAGAGAGGACCTGCAGGTGGCCGTCTCAGACAGCGAGCACGTCCTGAGTTTGGCTCAGGCCCGGCTGGTGCTGCGCCGCCAGAGGCCGGGCAAAGAGCAGTGCCACGACCCGGCCCAGAACCAGCTGCTGGCCGAGGTGCAGCAGCTCAACGCTCACATCAACAGGTGAGGGCAGGGCTGCAGGATAGATTTGGCTAAATTGTATTTGAGTGAGCACATCAACAGTGTGTGTAAATGTGTAATCTGTAAACATAAAACATTTTCCACAAATATTTTAAAAAATGTATAAACTCGCCAAACTAATAATAAATAATAAATTATAATAATAAAACCAATATGCAAATATAAAAACGAATTACACAAAAGGAAAACTTATCTGTGAACTGTGATCTTTTTATTGTGAATCAAATGGCATTTGTGGATGTCTATTCTCTGCTATTGTTCAAGTTTTGGATAGGTTTTATTTGCCAGGCAAAAACAAATCTTAAAATAAATAAAACAAAGTGGAAATAATCAAACATTATGATGATGCAAATAGAAATGTTAACATGTTAAAAAACATTGTAAAAAGTGAAAGAAAGCCTGTCAATTTTATTTTTCTTATAATTTCTTTTACCTACCATGTTGTCTGATTTAGATGGATTACGTAGTAGATCCATGCCATTTCTGATTCCAAAAATAAATATGGTAACTTCTTCCAGTATTGGCTGATGTAGGCTATTGTTCAGAGATGTTTTCAGTCGTCTCCAGCGAGTCATTGTGTGTCTCTCTCTCTGCGCTCTCAGACTGCGCGAGGCGGCGTCCCGCTCTGAGGAGCAGCAGAGGGCTCTGGTGCGCTGCCAGCTGGAGCTGCAGGAGAACATCGAGAGGAAGGGCAGCTCGCTGTACATCGACGAGGTCGTCTGTGCCCAACACAGGGAGCCCATCATCATACATAACTTCTGAACCACCGGAAATTATTGAAATAAAAGTCACTTAAAATAATATGTATTTCTACTTCATATGATACTTCATCATTATTACTCATGGTTATACTGCTCTAAACCATCACGAAAATAGTTTACATTTGACCTTATAAAGAAAAACCTTGAAGATTTGTTTTAACATTCAAATATGGATAGAAAATCTTTATATTTTACTCAATGATGTGCAACGAAACTACTTTCACCTATTGGTTGAAATTGCTTGAAACACAAAAGTTACTCAGGTAAGCAATATCTAATGTGTTCCCTCTTTTTCTAAATTACAAGATGAAGAAAATGCAATAGTCTACACATGCACAGGGAGATGATGTACAGAGTTTGTAATAACGTGCATCTGCAATATGTTATGTATTTGAGATAAATTAATCTCATATTTGGTAAGGTTTTTACTTTAATATGTTAACTTCGACAGCACCTGATCCATTTTAACATGTCTTTTTTACTGTCAAAGTAGCCTTATACGATGCATATTCAAAACAAGCTATTTGCATCGTTTAGTAACTGTGTTTGTTATCAGTTGTTTCAATTTGGATACAATACATTAGATTTACATAATTTCCCCCTGGGATTAATAAAGTGTTTTGATTGATATTCTGAGCTGTTTTCTCTCCAACAACTACTGAAAGTAGAAGGTCAGGATCCTCTCTATGGAGCACCTGTAGAAGGTCAGTATGCTCTCTATGGTGCACCTGTAGAAGGTCAGGATGCTCTCTATGATGCACCTGTAGAAGGCCAGGATACTCTGGTGCACCTGTAGAAGGTCAGGATCCTCTCTATGGAGCACCTGCAGAAGGTCAGGATGCTGTCTATGGTGCACCTGTAGAAGGTCAGGATGCTCTCTATGGTGCACCTGTAGAAGGTCAGGATCCTCTCTATGGTGCACCTGTAGAAGGTCAGGATCCTCTCTATGGTGCACCTGTAGAAGGTCAGGATGCTCTCTATGGTGCACCTGTAGAAGGTCAGGATGCTCTCTATGGTGCACCTGTAGAAGGTCAGGATGCTCTCTATGATGCACCTGTGGAAGGTCAGGATGCTCTCTATGATGCACCTGTAGAAGGTCAGGATGCTCTCTATGGTGCACCTGTAGGTCAGGATGCTCTCTATGATGCACCTGTGGAAGGTCAGGATCCTCTCTATGGTGCACCTGTAGAAGGTCAGGATGCTCTCTATGATGCACCTGTAGAAGGCCAGGATACTCTGGTGCACCTGTAGAAGGTCAGGATCCTCTCTATGGTGCACCTGTAGAAGGTCAGGATCCTCTCTATGGTGCACCTGTAGAAGGTCAGGATGCTCTCTATGGTGCACCTGTAGAAGATCAGGATCCTCTCTATGGTGCACCTGTAGAAGGTCAGGATCCTCTCTATGGTGCACCTGTAGAAGGTCAGGATCCTCTGGTGCACCTGTAGAAGGTCAGGATGCTCTCTATGGAGCACCTGTAGAAGATCAGGATCCTCTCTATGGTGCACCTGTAGAAGGTCAGGATCCTCTCTATGGTGCACCTGTAGAAGGTCAGGATGCTCTCTATGGTGCACCTGTAGAAGGTCAAGATCCTCTCTATGGTGCACCTGTAGAAGGTCAGGATGCTCTCTATGATGCACCTGTAGAAGGTCATGGATCCTCTCTATGGTGCACCTGTAGAAGGTCAGGATGCTCTCTATGATGCACCTGTAGAAGGCCAGGATACTCTGGTGCACCTGTAGAAGGTTAGGATCCTCTCTATGGTGCACCTGTAGAAGGTCAGGATGCTCTCTATGGTGCACCTGTAGAAGTAGCAGAGTATCCTGGAGTCCATGTTGAACCTCCTCAGCCTGTGGAGGAAGAAAAGCCGCTGTCGAGCTTTTTTGGTGATGGTGTTAGTGTGATGAGTCCATGTCAGGTCCTCAGTGATGTGGACATGTGGCTGCATTTCCCCCTTTAGAAAAACGATTTCAGGATTGGGGTCTAATCGCCAAACACTTAACATTGATCATATGACATGTATCAATAAATGTTCTTTAAACAAAATGAAGTCTCTCCTGATTGAACTGTCTGGACCCCATCCTCAACTTTTTTTCAAACCATAACATGCCTTCATAGGGCTTTCCTGTTGATCATGTTTGGTGGATTTTTTAATAGAATAATTGTAATCAATATTATATTACCTTTTAATCTATATAAGCATAAAACAACACTAAAATAAACACTACAGTACAACTTGTTTGTTTTTTGAAAAAACACAGGCTAGATACATATACAATTATAATTAATAAAATTAATACAACTGTTAATTTGATTAGAGCTTTGGCACATATCTTTATTTATATATGTACACTGAACAAAAATATAAATGCAACACTTGTTTTTACTCCTATCTAAAACATTTTCTATATACACAAAATAACCATTTCTCTCAAATATTGTTCACAAATCTAAAAAAATCTGTGATAGTGAGCACTTCTCCTTTGCCGAGATAATCCATCCCACCTCACAGGTGTGGCATATCAAGATGCTGATTATACAGCATGATTATTTCCATAGGTGTGCCTTAGGCTGGCCACAATAAAAGGCCACTCTGAAACGTGCAGTTTTGCTTTATTGGGGGGTCCGAAAACCAGTCAGTATCTGGTGTGACCACCATTTGCCTCACGCAGTGCAACACATCTCCTTCGCATAGAGTTGATCAGGTTGTTGATTGTGGCCTGTGGAATGTTGGTCCACTCCTCTTCAATGGCTGTGCGAAGTTGCTGGATATTGGCAGGAACTGGAACACGCTGTCGTATACGCCGATCCAGAGCATCCCAAACATGCTCAATGGGTGACATGTCCGGTGAGTATGCTGGCCATGCAAGAACTGGGATGTTTTCAGCCTCCAGGAATTGTGTACAGATCCTTGCAACATGGGGCCGTGCATTATCATGCTGCAACATGAGGTGATGGTCGTGGATGAATGGCACAACAATGGGCCTCAGGATCTCTTCACGGTATCTCTGTGCATTCACAATGCCATCAATAAAATGCACCTGTGTTCGTCGTCCATAATATACGCCTGCCCATACCATAACCCCACCACCACCATGGGCCACTCGATTCACAACATTGACATCAGAAAAACGCTCACCCACACGACGCCACACACGCTGTCTGCCATCTGCCCTGAACAGTGAAAACCGGGATTCATCCGTGAAGAGAACACCTCTCCAACGTGCCAGACGCCATCGAATGTGAGCATTTGCCCACTCAAGTCGGTTACGACGACGAGCCGGAGTCAGGTCGAGACCCCGATGAGGACGACGAGCATGCAGATGAGCTTCCCTGAGACGGGTTCTGACAGTTTGTGCAGAAATTCTTTGGTTATGCAAACCGATTGTTGCAGCAGCTGTCCGAGTGGCTGGTCTCAGACGATCTTGGAGGTGAACATGCTGGATGTGGAGGTCCTGGGCTGGTGTGGTTACACGTGGTCTGCGGTTGTGAGGCCGGTTGGATGTACTGCCAAATTCTCTGAAACGCCTTTGGAGACGGCTTATGGTAGAGAAATGAACATTCAATTCACGGGCAACAGCTCTGGTGGACATTCCTGCTGTCAGCATGCCAATTGCACGCTCCCTCAAAACTTGCGACATCTGTGGCATTGTGCTGTGTGATAAAACTGAACATTTTAGAGTGGCCTTTTATTGTGGCCAGCCTAAGGCACACCTGTGCAATAATCATGCTGTCTAATCAGCATCTTGATATGCCACACCTGTGAGGTGGGATGGATTATCTCGGCAAAGGAGAAGTGCTCACTATCACAGATTTTTTCAGATTTGTGAACAATATTTGAGAGAAATGGTTATTTTGTGTATATAGAAAATGTTTTAGATCTTTGAGTTCATCTCATGAAAAATGGGAGAAAAAACAAAAGTGGTGCATTTATATTTTTGTTCAGTGTATAAGTATGACGACTTCCCCGGGCGATATCATATGGTATAGCGAATTAATCAAGCTGGGTCAAAACGTGTTGTGCCCAGATGCAAAGGTTGTACGCTCTGGCTTATCCCTGCGTGGTATTATTTAGTAATAGCAAACAGCTACGTTAAACTCCTTTAATGGTATATTGCAAGTGCAATAAGAATCTACAGGGACGTTAATCTACGTCGGTAATATTAACTTTATTTAATACAACATTTACGGTACAAGATTTACATCATACAGCCCATGTAGTATAATATTTTACAAATGATTAATTACAGCAAACATGTGCAATATATCCATTATTACAGCTCCGTGGGCAGTAAGGCGATATGGGTCCGTTCTTATTGTGCATCCATGGGTAAAGGTAAAACTTGTGTAGTACTGAACACGTCACATGAACGTGCCGGGCGGCGCGGTCCCGTGGGTTAGATCCGCATTCATAATGCCGAGGAAAATAACTCTCAGAATAACGTTATTAGCACATTTTTACAACTTGAGGAACAAATGTTTTTAATAAGGGCTATACAAATGTTCATTCTGGATAGTTTATTTAGTTTAAAAAAAATTATCCAACGATTTACAGACCACTCTTTCCCCATGTTAGTCGATGGGAAAAAGTGTTTCCGGGCCCAGCAACCTATAAGGAAGTGTGGTACCACCATTTGGCCACAACGAATATTTTCCTCAGAGTCCGGCGCACTTCCTGGGGGCTTGGTTAAATGCAGGTTAAATGCCCAGCATTCGGCGCCACTCGATGACGTAGTATACTTGAAATAGTACTGCAGCAGGTATACTCGACATTGTGGGTGTTTCTCAATCTCGAGTACGCTTGCTTGGTAGCACATGTCTTCCAAGCGTCTTGCTTCAGAAGCGAGGCAAGAATACTTCCTAGCCTCGGAAAACGAAGAATGGAACAGGCGAGCAAGTGTGCGCCATATGAGAGGCCCCGTCTTACATTTTCCGCCACAGATTTGGGGAAATTGGTCCGTGCGCAAAGCATTGTGGGGATTTTAAGACCGGAGTCTACACATGTGCAGCCTCGAAATTTCTCCAAACGAAGTACGCCGGGCTCGGTAGAATTTGAAGTATGCAGGATATTGGAACAGTACTTTGGCGGCACTCGATGACGTAGTATGCTTGAAATAGGGGCTCTGGAGCAGCTTTACTCTACATTGAGAAACACCCTGAGAAACATCCGCATCCCTACCCGATCCGCACTGCGTATGTGCGAGATGGTCCGCCATATTGGACAACTCCATACGGCAACTCAAATAAGACATGTGACGTCTAGACGGCTGCCCGATTTGCATCATGCATGTGCGAGTCATAAACGTCTCAAATATCTATACACAAATCTTTTGTTATTTTATTTTATTTGAAATAAAATGAAGAACATTCACAGTTAATGTAATTAGATATAAATTATGATACTTTGATCCAGTTACTTATGTTGTGGCAGATATTTAAGTAAGCTTTCTAGATTGCTCTGACGGGAGGTGATATTCTATTAATTTTCACATTCACACAGTCGGTGATTTTTGCCAGCCATCTTTCCTTCAACTGCAGTTTAAACTGTATTTCCTTTATCCTGTAATATGACTTGATAGCTTTAAACTCTGCACACTGAGCTCTGATTGGTCAGCAGGCGGTGCTTTCACTGAGCATAAGTTACCATGGAGATCTACCCCGGTCATGACCCCGGTAAGAAGTGAACCAGCGTCGTAGGACCGGAAACCCAGAGTTAACCCTGATGTTACCTCGCTAAGCGAAAATCCGGCTTCGTAGTACAGGCCACAGATGACAGACAGATCTCATTACCCTCAGAAGACTTGTCACAAATCGTTGTGATAATCACACCGTTGCCCTTTTCTGAGGCTCATTTTCTGTCTGAGCCAACTTGTCCAGCTGTGCCTTCAGTTCACTTGCTTCAGGTCGATCCTCTGACTTCTCATGCAGCATTTTCTTGATGATTAGGTTCTGCAAAAAAAACACCTTTAACTGAGATCTGTGTACAAACACTATTGTGTTGCCATAATAACAGTTCTAACAAAAAAAACGTAGATTGCTATTTTCTAAAATACTTGTATTTGTTCTGCTTGTTAATAGTACAAACAGCAGCAGTCCCCCACCTATAGAGATGGACAGCTGTTGTAAAAAAGTACTGCCTCATGTGGGAGGTAATTTACTGCGGATCATAAGAACATTGTAATACCTCTTCTTGGAAGGCCCGTGAAAAGTTTGTTGGGAGAATTAGTTTTCTTGCATTTTGTAAAACCTGGTACTCATGCAGTGATAAAAGGATGAAAGAACATGTTAGTTAGCCTGAATCAAACGAATAATTCAACAACAATTGAGTTGAATGTTGCATATAAATACAAGAGAAAAGCCTAAAAAATATGGTAACATTGTGGTGGCAAGTCTTTGTCTGTATACTTCACCTCTCCTCTTTCATGGCCAGAAGAGACTTTCCACAGGAGTTCCAAGTATATCAACCCCAGAGCAAATATGTCGAGCATAGGTCTCCCCCACCTTTTGTGAAATAATAAAAACACAGAATTGCCTGATGTTATACTAATATAACTCATAGGGAAAGATTAGCAAGTCATGCTAATGAAGTAATTGACGTTTTGGCTTCAAGTTCTGGCTCATGGCTTATACATGTAGATACACTTAATTCACAGTTTGTTCTATTGGCAATAAAGTTCTCACATATTTTACTTTCACCTTTAATACTATCAACTGGCTGCTATCTCAAAACTGTCACTTGTACTGGATTCGTATTTAGTAAGATGTGTAATTTCTACTTTATCTTTCATATATTTGTATGCATGCTTCTTAATTAACCTTTGGCTCTTTACCTGCTGTAACCAATGTACATTTCCCCTCTGTTGGATGAGTAAAAGTATTCTGATTCTGATTTTTCGTTGTACAGCTCTGATTGCCAACAGTAAGAAAAGGTTTGGCTGGGCTAAATAAACAATAGAGCATAGAGTGGTGCAGCGATGTTGTATTTTAGGCCCATCCAAATGTGAACAACGCAAGGGCTTCCTCAACAAAAGCAATGTGATTTTTGGAGGACTCATGTCTGAGTGATAAAGTCTAGTAGTTGATGTAGTGTGTTAGCAACCACCATCTATCTCTACGACATACAAGCTTTCAACCTTCACCAGTGGGGAAATTACTGATGTATTTTCTGTCGTAGAACAAAACGTAAAAATGTTTTTACTTCGAGGCGAGGGAACCGGAAATGGTAAAAAGCGAACTAAAGGTATAGTTGAAAATAATTAGTCCACCTAATTAAAACCAGTCGAAGGAAATATTTGTTAAAAATGAATACAGAAGAATTAAGAGTTTTTGCCAGAATAGACCATCTCACTTGTTCAGGGGCCATGTAAGATCTGGTTCCTCTGTTCTCTGTTCTGTCCATCAAAGCGTCATCATCTCTGGTGACCAGACCAAAGTCACCAATCTTCACTTCTCTATCATCCAGTCCAAACAGGATGTTCTCAGGCTTCACAGAAAGAAAAATAATTGAAACAAATGAACAATAAAATTAGAAGCTTGAAAAACAGTAATATATCTTTAACCACATGTGGCTCACAACCAGAAGACTGTTCGATTTGATAAGACATCTTTAGGCTAAGATATATTTTATTCTCATTCTAATTGAAATGCCTATTCACAGGTAATATTAGGTGAACTGAAGCTTCTAGCTAAAATAATGTCTTGTGCTTCGAGCATTTCGAGCAGGATCTTGCCTAATACTTTTGAAATAATCATGGTAGCAAACGTAGTACCCTACTATTTTTATGACTGGATTGCACAAGGGTCACTGGTTTCCAAGAGAGGTCTGATTGTATAGAAGTTCATAGAAAAATGAGCCTGCTTCGCATTGATGTATTACCTTAGTAAATATATTCCTGATGACTTTATGGATTAGATTGCTAGTTTGAAGTCTTCTTCAATACAGAATGATGTTCATTTAGTAAATGATGACCCCATTTACAGCAGCATATGCTTTAGGGCCTGGCTTATTCTAACATTTTGGTCACCTAATAATGGCTTGTTATTCTACCAATTATTTTTGTTACACTGCAGTCTGGTTTCACCTTTAGGTCTCTGTGGATGTGCCCCGCCCCCTTGGAGTGAATATATTCGACTCCACTGACTATTTTCTGATCAATGGTTAGACTTTCTTGTCCTCTCTTTGTGTCTTGCAGAGACTGAGTGTTCTTCTCATGAATCCATTCCTTAAGTGTTTTCATTTTGCATAACTCCATCTGAATATAAAGGAACTTTACAGATAGATCATCTGTAGACCTAATGACAGAAGAAAAACATTTATAAAATTACTATCAACATCGGCACCTGTGTTGTTTCCCCGACTCAGACTGCAAGGAATCTGGGTGTGATCCTAGATAACAACCTGTCCTTCACTGCAAACATCGCTGCTACAACCCGTTGCTGCAGATACACGCTTTACAACATCAGGAGGATACGTCCCCAGCTGACACAGAAAGCGACGCAGGTTCTGGTCCAGGCTCTCGTCATCTCACGCCTAGACTACTGCAACTCCCTCCTGGCTGGTCTACCTGCATGTGCCATCCGACCTCTGCAGCTCACCCAGAATGCAGCGGCTCGTCTGGTCTTCAACCTTCCTAAATTTTCCCACACCACGCTCTGCATCAGCCAAACGACTCGCTGCACCCTCGCTGCGAGGGGGACCCAAGTTCCCATCAGCAAAAACACGTGGGTTTGCTATCCTGGCTCCAAGATGGTGGAATGAGCTCCCCATTGACATCAGGACAGCAGATAGCTTGCACATCTTCCGGCGCAGACTGAAAACTCATCTCTTTCGACTCCACTTCGAGCGATAAAATTATTAACAAAGCACTTATATACTAATAAAGGACTGGCTTATCTATAGCCAGTTGAGTAGCACTTGAAATGTTTGGCTCTATGAAACCTGATGTACTTATATGATTCTGTTTTCTTCAAGGTTGTGTCTTCCTGGTCGAATGTACTTATTGTAAGTCGCTTTGGATAAAAGCGTCAGCTAAATGCAATGTAATGTAATGTAATAAAAATACTCTCCTCTGACTTAAAAGGTAGACTTGAATCTTATAGAGGCATATATACAATTCAGAATATTGAATATAGCAGTAAAATACTATTTGAAATTATAAAATATAGTAATGAGCAATAAGGTCTCTTCTCTGTGTGTTGTAATCCAAGCTTCTCTGTTCTTTGGTTTATTGCTGGGATAGCTACGAGTGCCTGTTAGTAGCCTACCTGTTATCTATGGACTTACGTTACCTCTGATAAAGGTTTCCCAACCATAGACTGTTATAGTCCCAACATGGAAGCGTTACACCCACCCTCCACTTTCTCTCTTCGAGTAATACTGTTAGCTCTGTCAGCTCCTTTGCTATAGTTTGCACTGCTAATGCTGTTAGCTAATGCTGTTAGCACCATTAGCAGCTAGCCGTCGGCTCAACTATCCCCATGTCGAGAGCTGTGTTCATGTATTCCTGGCCCTGACTCTGAATGAAAGATATGCTTTAAATGCTATATATATATATATTGCCTGTTTAAGGTTAGGACGTGGACCATAGACTGTATATATAAGACGTGGACATTACTGGGGGTGTTTCTCAATCGCGAGGATGCTGGCTTGGTAGTCCCGTACTTTCAAGTCACTTCCTTCAGAAACGAAGCAAGTATACTTCCAAGCCACGGCTTCGGAAAACGAAGAATAATGGAACAGGCTAACAAGTGTGCCACTCTCTCTAACGGTTTCAACATAAACTGTACCGAAAATAAATACCTCACGGTGTCTATCTAATTATGAACTTGCTTTACTTTCACGGAACACATTTTTGGTGATAACAAACAAATGTAACAAAGTAACCAACACATGTTCTACGCCACTACATACTTACATTTAAATGTGTGCTGCGTCGGTTCAGCCATTCTCCGCAAGGGTTTTTGAAATTGGTCCGTGCGCAAAGCATTGTGGGGATTTTAAGGACGCGAAGTCTACCCATGTGCAGCATGAGTGCACTCGATGACGTATCATCCTTGAAATATTGGCTTGGAAGCCAGTATCCTCGAGATTGAGAAACGGCCTCCGCCTCCGACGCTGTGAGTGGGCTGAATCGAAAGAGAGCACAGCTATATGCAGGACTGCAGAAGGGACAAGGCTGGAATGGGAAATAAACAAGTATTGTGAGACCGAACTTTGTTCTCACCGTTTTATGCAATTTAAGATTCGACGGTTAAGTTATTCAAGATGGAAAGTGTGAATTATGTCGCAAGACTCAACGAGTACGCACATACAAATGGATTTCCTGTGGACTACAGGGAGTCTCCACCTGATGGCCCAGACCAGCGCCATACATGTATAGATAGAAGAGTTACGACAACGGAAGTCCAAAATGCTTGATCGTCACTCTCTCCATTGACTTCAATACATATTTTTTCCGAAATAAGGTCCCATGGGGTGGAAGTAGAAGGGCAGGACTTCGCCTCTATACATCCATGCTACTATTTCAAGTATACTACGTCATCGAGTGGCGCCGAATGCTGGGCATTTAACATGCATTTAACATGCATTTAACATGCATTTAAACAGTCCTTCGGCGCCACTCGATGACGTAGTATACTTGAAATAGTGGCTCTGCAGCAGGTTTACTCGACATTGAGAAACAGCCCGTGGGTGTTTCTCAATGTCGAGTACGCTTGCTTGGTAGCACATGTCTTCCGAGTCACTTGCTTCAGAAGCGAGGCAAGAATACTTCCTGGCATTCGGAAAACGAAGAGTGGAACAGGCGAGCAAGTGTGCAGGTGTGCGTCATATGAGAGGCCCCGCCTTACGTTTTCCGCCACAGATTTGGGGAAATTGGTCCGTGCGCAAAGCATTGTGGGGATTTTAAGACCACGGATTCTACACATGTGCAGCCTCGAAATTTCTCGCTACGAAGTACGCCGGGCTTGGTAGAATTCCAAGTATGCTGGACATTGGAACAGTCCTTCGGCGGCACTCTATGACGTAGTATGCTTGAAATAGTGGCTCTGGAGCAGCTTTACTCGACATTGAGAAACACCCCGGAACTGTCCTGAGAGTGGAGGCCTGCAGGCAGACCCCTCTCAAGTACTTTGCCGTACTTAGTTCCAAACACTTATGGCACATTTCCACTGCAACGGGGTAGCCCCGTTTAAGCGTCCCTAAGCGTCCTCGCTCAGGCCTCGGGCTGCCTCGCTGGCCGTCCGAGGCCGTGGCGCATTGCCATTACAGTTTAGGACCTGGGGTAGCAACGCAGTGTAGGCGGGGCGATCGGCTTTGTTTTTGTTCACATTTCGAGTTGTTCCGTCGAGCTCCCGCTGGATTTGATCATCCCCAATGAGATGTAGGAACGTCGTCACCTCCTCGGTCGACCACGGTGTGCTTTTCTTATTAGACGTAGCCATTTTTGTAGCTCATCCGTTTACAAAATGCTGTTTATAAAAATGCTGCAAGCTTGCTTCTAAATATATATGCGACGCTAGGGATGAACTTGCGCACGATCTTGTGACGATTCTCTCTGACCAATCAGCAGTCGAGAGTGTTGACGTCACTAGTTCAGCCCTGGCCCTGGTCTGATAGAACCACGATTTTATGGGGCCGGAAAAAGTACCCGCTAGCCGGTACTAGGCTATATGGAAAGGCCACCAAAAACTGGGCTGGCCGCTTGAGGACGGTTAAGGACGCTTAAACGGGGCTACCCGCTGCAGTGGAAATGCGCCATTAGTGCCAGCACTTAGTACCTCCATGGAACTAAGAGCCGATCGCATTCACACCGGAATAAGTTCCCTGAGGGAAGATTACGCTAATGAAGCCGCTGACGTCACTTCTTCTTCTTCTGCTTTGGGTTTACTGGCAGGCCGCAAACAACTTCACGGCGTATACTGCCACCCGAAGTCCCCGGAGTTGGGGACTGGCTTCAGTAGAAGCTGCTGGGACTCCCAGCAGCTTCTACTGAAGCCTTCCGAGTAAATCGCCAGAACGCCGACACCTCCTCATCTCCACCGCTCCCATGTTTTTTGTTGTGTTGCCATAAGTTATTCTCTCTCCGTTGGTGCGCGGGGCTAATGCTAATAATGCTAATGCCAGCAAATACAATGGCGGCTTCAAAAAACTTTTCAGAGTTTTACGGGGCGTGGTTTGCAATTCGCCCAGCCAATCAGAAATTGGTACTTTTTTCTCCCCAGGATAGTCCCACCTCTCTAGCAGGCACTACAAATGGGGGTAAAAGTTCTCTGAACTAAGTTCTCTTTTTGGTGTGAATACAAAACGGAACTAAACGGGAAAAGAACGGGTAAAAGTACTCCTACTTAGCGCCTATTACAGCTACTCCCACACAACAATATCAAAATAGAGAAAATATAAGAAAAATAGAGCCAAAAAATGATATAAAAATACTTGCATTATGCTATAATGTATAACACTTTATAAAATAATAATGAAAAATGGGATCCATCATTAAGTGTTTTAAAATGCTAGTTTAAATAGAAGTTAAAATGTTCTAGTAAAAAAAAAGTCAAAGATTTAAAAAAAAGCAACTGCAGTCGCAGCATGCACACTTTACAAATAATTGATAAATATAATCACGCTGACTTAAGGGGGAAATCATAGACAAATCTTCCTCCACAAGTGAAGGGATCACTACAGCAGTTGATAGCTCAGTTTATTACACACCAACAAGATAAATACTCAAGCACGGACAAAACAGGAAATGATCAACTAGTGTACACAGAGATATGAGGACAGAGATGTAAAGCTTCATTAGTCAATATTAATCACAGAAAGTGAGGATATCGTTGTGCTGTTCCCCGACCCCAAACATCATTGTTCAGGAATGAATAAAACAGATGTATGAAGTTTTTCTCCAGTTGGTTGTGTTTTTTCTCCCAACCCACCGTTGTCCATTCTCCATTATTTTCTGCTAGGTGTCTTGATCATATCCCTGAGACAGTGAGGGGACCATCCTCAAATCATACTCACTATATAACTATTCATTTATTTTCTTAACATTTTTAAATCAAAAAGTCGCTTAAATCAAAAGTGCTATCACAGAAGTACTATATGTCTAACCTTTCTTCAATTTGTACCAACATATAACGAAAATGTATTATATCTGCTTAAAACATTGGTAGGTAACTCTCAAAAGAAAATAGTTTTAAATATAATCACTTGAATCTTGAACCAAGGAGATACAATTTGACTTACTTCCTGATAAAACGAGAGTATACCAATGTTTCATGCAAAGCTAATCTTTCAAAATTACGTTTTCTGACTTTTTTCATCATTACGTGCTACATACATCGCAAATTAAACTCAAATGTAATATACCGTAATCCTGCTTTCCATCCCAGCGGACCCAGACAGAGCTGCGCAGGGGTTTGCTGTTTTCTGTGTGTTGAAATTAATTATTTATCTGGTTACCAACAATTGTTTTCCAACCAAAGTCTTTAGCCTTCTTTCGTTAAAAATGAAAAGCCTGGCCCGGCTGATGGAGAGAGACGGCGTCCTACTGGTCAAACACATAACAGTGAAGTGTCATTTATAGAGTTATTCAGGTTACTGCAGACTTTAAGGGTCCATGCTGGTGTGTTTGAGTGTTCAGTGGCAGTCTACAGAGCAGCCATCTTGCTGGCCTCTCTGACCCCGCTCAGGTAGGCTCCGGTCACAGTCTGAGGGAAGTGTCTGTTGGTGGCCTGGAAACACAAACCAAGAAAACAAATAAACTAAAAACAGTTTTAAAATCTCCGGAAGCCAGAAAGTGACCAAATATCTGACAAAACAATCATGATTCAATTTTTTAGGTAGTTTGAGACCTTTTTAAATAAAGAATGATTAATTAATGAATTGCGCTTTTCTTTTAAATACAGGAAAAAATATATACAGAAATAATTATTTTAATTCCATGTTGATTTATTATTTTATTTTTTGTATTTATATTTCCACACTCTCTAATCAACATATTTTTTAATTCCTCTTTATATATCCACATATCTAGATATTTTGTCCTTAATACTTTTATAGATGTAGTTTTTTTTTCAGCTAAATAGTGGTTCCAGTGTTACATAGATCAAGGCGACCTTGGAATACTTAAAGATAAGAATGATCTTATCTCTAAAAGAAATAGAGGAATAAATACAACTGGTTAGTTGTCTGATGTGTACTTACCTCTCCAGCAAAGAAGACTTTTCCCTGCACGTCTTCAGCCAGGATGTCGTAGGCCTCTCCGCTCCCCCCCCGTCTTCACAAAGCTGTAGGACATCTGGGACCACATGTCTTTGGTCCAATGTGTCACAAAGAAATGCACCGGCTCTGGGACCTCCTGTTAGGGATGACAGACAGTAAACAGTAATGAAAAACACCCACAAAAAAACACAACTAACTCCGAAACATACTGTTTGTAAAAGGTTATAGGTGTATTTTGTGTTGATAGATAGAATATGTTTTATACCAGGATATATTTTCAGAAGGAATGAGTTTAGTTCCTGGTCCATACAACGTGGCTGTTTTGGGCAAATAACTTTTCGATAGCCCAAGAACTACCAGGGCAGAGGACTTTGTCTCCTTTTTAACCATTTAAACATCAGAGTAGCACCTTTTTAAACGTCTAAATAAGTTTAAACCTTTAGCTATTTTTTTCCCAAGTTCAGCTTCTGAGACTATTTGGTTGAAAAAGGACTTTACATGCGTAAGTAGTATTTTCATTGTTTCATTACCTGCTCTTTGAAAAGTTCCCTCAGGACCTTCATGCACTCATCCACCACCTGCTTGTCCTCCATGTCCCGCACAGCAGCCACAGCTTCACCAGTGATGACCGACATGAGGACAGCCTGCTTCCCCTACACACACATACACACAGAAACATAAACAAGTATTTCTCCTGTATTTGGGATTGCAGTCTGACACCAGTAGCTAACACCAATTTTCCCAGATAGAAAC